CTTTCCCAGAATTTGAAACGTCAATGCCAGCAAAGAACAGCTTTACTGTCTCTGATGTTTGTATGGGTATAATGACTGGTTCCGCACCTCAAGCTGACTGGCTGAAGTACTCCAAGTCATGGTGCAGAACTGTGCTGTCTACCTTGCCATTACCACAGAACTATAACCTATAGAATGGAAATGGCATTGGAGTATAATTCTAACAACTCAACTAGGAGCAGGTACTTCCTTTTAAAAACGCATGAAAACACATGCTTTCCTTAAAAATGACTTACAAATATTTCACTGCCTAATGATCAGCCTCGCGTTTGTGTGCTGGATGTTCTGGTGTCATGCAGAGGGGTTCTGCTGTGGTTCTAATCATTCAGAATGTGCATGCTGACTCTAACACAGTTGAGACAAAGCTAGCCAAATAGCAGTTTCAGAGTGTGATACCATACAATTCTGCAAAAACATAAAGCTTCTTTAGAAGGAAAAGAAAAAATCAAAAAACAAAAAACTTTTTTTCAGTTGGCTTACTGTGGCCTGGAGGCTTCTGCCTGGTCTGTCTGTAGTTTTTCTCCTCCTTCCACCTCCATTGTACAGTAAACAATTCGATTGGGAGCGACTGACTTCAAACCTTGCACTTCCATTATGACAATCTAAAAATAAAATGATTATAAAATAATACGTCAAGTTGATAGCATTTACTGATACACAGAAATATCAGCATAAATTGCAGTGAGGAAGACTACTTGATAAACCTCAAAAAACAAAGAGTTTTGTTATCTGATAACATCATTGGGCTTGAATCATCTTTATAATCCACTCCCAGTCATAGAAGCTATAATAAATAACATTCCTAGAAGTCTAGTATCTTAAGAAATATCTACTGCCTAGTTACTAAATAAAAGTCAGGTTAAAAGCCCTAAACGTGGGAACCAGCAGTTAGCATAATGGCTATGTCGCTGGACTCCCACGTAGGTGACCGCGGTGGCTTAAAACTCACGCCGGGCGCGTGTGCGTGCGTGCCCAAGATCCTGAGAGGAGAATGGAGAAGAAGGGATTGCAGCGTGACCATCCCCCCTGGGGGGTGATTTCTCGCTTTCTGTCTCTATGTCTCTGTCTGTCTGTCTGGTGAGCGCACGCGCCCTATAGCGAAAAACCTCTCCAAAAAATAAAAGCCCTAAAAAAATTAAGGTAAGTCTACATGAAGTAAAGCAGAATCACAAATAAAAATTCAGTGAAAATTGTAATAGAATACATAATGAGTTCATATAAAGTGATACAGAATTTACTTTATGTTCATAGTGGTAAACATTATCACCATTATTCCAATTCATTGATATCACTATATCAGCAATTTTCAATATTTACTAATTTTATTTGATAATCACTATCTAGAAAATAATTTTCTTTATAGCCACTGTACATCTTACTCTCAAAATAATATGAAAACTAATTTGCATTTCTAACGATTTGACAAAAATAATTTTTCTATTAAATAATTTAATACAAGACCTTGGAAAAGTGTAGAAGAATTGATACTGTCTTATGAATCTATAACTACTAGGAGAAATGGAAAAAATATTTCTTTCAAATGTGCTGTATTTGTTTGTTTAACAGGCTCCCAATCTTAAAATATTGTAATATAACATGCTCACTGGATACATACATAAATTATGAGTACTATTCTCAATATGTAATTAATAAAGTTAAAAGGCATTTTATATATGTACATCATTGTCTCTCTTGGTCTCATGTAATTGCACAGACAAGAACAGTAGCATCCACATATGTAGCTAGCAAAGTATCCATCGAAATATCATTTATGCTATTATTGATCATTTAATGTCCTATTAGAGTCACTACACTTTTCACAGAGTTGTAATATAAATCTTGACCCAAAAGCTCTCTGAGGGAAAAAAAAAATTAAGATCTGTTATTCCTTTCAGTTCTGGTGCAAAAGAAAGGTTACGTTTGTAAATATACATGCATATTTTGGCTTGGTTTGGTTTTCATAAAAAATATAGAAAACGAATCCTCCCCCAAATAAAGTGACACCCAGAACAAGTTTCTTCCTCAACTAGGGCTTCTGCTTTTTGTCACACTAAAACACATGCCAACATATGAATAGCAATAAGGATTTAATTCAGAAAAGACTAAGAGACTTAATGGAGATTTGATAGATAACAGTAACATCTTTTGCAGCTGCTCTAATAAGGAAACTGAAGTCCTAAATTTTGAAGAAAGAAAATAAGAAAACGTAGTTACACATTTTTAATGACTCGAATTTATTGTCTGTAATAGTGAAACTGATTAGATCCTTAAAGACAAAACAAAGGAACACAGAAGCTGAGGCAAAAGAAACATATAACCGTATCAATTAGAAGTCTACAAGATTTGAACATACTATGATGTATGACTTACTCATTCAGTGATAAAAATTCTCGATAGTCACTTAAAGCTATGAAACAGCAGAATGGTGTACCATAAGTCTCGAAGTTGTAATGGCACTAGTTCATATTGCAGAATATTACTGTTTACACTGCAACTCTTTCCACAGCATGTTTAATAGCCAGAGCGCAAGTGAGAAGGAAGAAAGCAGCTGCCTGACATTATTTCTGTCACCTCTACTACAAGCTACTGTAAACAGGACCTCCTAAAACACACAACTTGTGAAACAGCACTCTGCTCCTCAAAACAATGCTCCCATCTGTGCTGGGAATGTTTTATCTGGTAGAACTGCCGCTTTCAAAAGATGTTCATCTATGATAAATCTATACATATAAGTAAAATAACACAATTCTGCAGATCTGATTTCCAGCAGGAAAATAAAGCATAGCTCGTCTCAACTAGCAGTACAGAAAGCCAAGAATTCCATGGACCATCAACTAACCTAATTTTAAGTAAGTGTTTCAACCCATTCCCAGCAAAACTAGATAATGAAACTACAGAAAATAAAATTGATCTATGTCTCATTTCCTCTTCTTCAATCTATCTATGGTTGATTTAATAAGGATAAAATAGACGAAAGTAAAAAAAAAAAACAAAAAACCAAGGAGGGATGCACAAAATATGAAACTGGTTAGCATGCTTCTGAGAAATACACTGATCACAGTTACATCATATTAAGCATGTGTAGATTACGAAATATTAATGCTAGGCCATATGGTGAAATTGGAGTTATTGCAGAGGAAGTCACAGGGTCTGCTGGCCTTGAAAACAGTGTGAAAAGATCAACTATATTCATGTGGCTGATGACATTTCCCATACATATACAGACTCATAATTCTATAGGGATCATTTGGCTATCCAGTTTTACTTGAATATTTAATTTTAACAAGCCATTGTATGACTTAATATTTTGTGGGCTAGCTTATTTTTTGTGATTTTATTATTTCTCTTGAGGGCTTCATGAATGAACAGACCTAAAAGTAATCCTGTATGGTCAACTGCTGTTTTCTGATACCATAAAAATCTTCAATTCAACATGAATTTATTGAGTCATCTATATGCCAGGCACTATGTAGGCACTTTTGATATCTCAATAAACAAAAAGAGAAAGATTAAAAAAAAAAAAAGTAACCATACTGAAGCTTACATTCCAGCAGAGAAAGCCTGATAAATAATAAACATAATAAATACTTACATTATGTTAGGTAGTAAGTGTTGTGGCAAAGACACACAGCTTGGTAAGAGACTAGAGTTTGAAACAGAAGGGAAGGATGGGTACCAATTTTAAAGAAAAGGTGAAATTTGACCATAGTTTTTTCAAATCTGCACCTCATTCCTTAGACCCAGCATTCGGTTCTTAGAAAAGACTCCTGCACCGGACCATTTCTAAGCCTGACTAATGAAATGTGAGAGCTTAAAATTGGATTAACTGCTTGCTTTTCAGAGTTTGCTTAGGCTAAATTCTGAGGTGTGAGGAGCAAAGCTTGCTTATTGGGCTAGCGATAATTAGCTTAGCATGGCTGACATCACAGGCCTGGTGGCTAGAAGAGTAGCGAGTCCATTCTTTGAGGTGTTCTACTATGCACTGGGTAGCCATTACTTACCACAATTTCGTTTTGTTGCTGGAAATATAACTCCTACTTAAAATACTCTGGGTACCCAAGAACAGATTTGTATTATGCTATGGTAGGAAAATATCTGCCTTAGATTGACAAAGTAATAGAAAATGTCAAAACAACTTTATAAAAATGCAAGCTTCTCAGACCATGCAAAATGAAGTTTAGCTTATATTCTTTTCCTAATACCATTATACAGATAACTGAACATTCTTCTTTAACAGATTGGTAATAAAGCACAGAGTAACAATTCATATTTTCACTTAAACACTGACTCATCAGCCTAATTTTATTTTCAAAGGAGAAAACAGAATCAATAAAAAGTGAATTATGGACAATTATTTAGGATTTTTGATCAGCAGAGAAAAGACAAAAAATTCTGAACTGTGTTCAGTTCTGAATGCTTAAATATAAAGATAATGGTAAATGTATACATCATAGAAGTTGTTTGCTCTACAAATTATTATCTTTTCCATCACTAAATTTAAAAACCAAATTCTTGTTAGGCAATATTATACTGTTATCAATTGACTGATTTTGTTCTGTAAAATAAAAAAAAAAAGGAAAGAAGAAAAGCTGTCACTTTATAATTCTGTTAGCAGGTGGCCTGAGACAGGAATGACCAAGAAATTCCAGATTTAATATACCTGTAGTTTCAAGCTAAATATCCTTATTTTATAAGGCTGAAGAGCTTGAGAAGATATCTCGTATCAGAGGCATTTGACAAAGAACTAGGTAACTAGAACAGAATCTTGAGTCAGAAGAAAGCCAACTATTTCTCCTCTGACACTAAGTTTAACCCATTAACCTAAAAAATAATCACAATTTGGGAAGTTAAGAAAGTGAGAGGCAGTGGTCATATCCTCACACTTGAATTTATACTAGAGTTGAATAAATGGAAGAAAAAGAACAAAAGTAGAAATTTACTTTTTCTGCCATAAACAAAGCAAGTCAAGCATCAACAAAGACATCTGAATCCGGACCTCCTACAACTGTGTGTGCTTTGTTAGTAGCAAATGCAAACAGCAGCACTGGGAACCAGGAAAGAGAATAAAACAATACAAGCCAGGAGATACAAGTTCTTTTATTAAAGAGCTATAAATTAAGCTTTTGATTACTAGTACTTAAAGAAAAAAAAAATCATGGAGGGAAAAAAGCTAGTTTAAGCCGAATGGTAACCTAACAATACTAATTACTAGTATATAATTTTTAAGAGGTTTTTGCCTTAGAACACATGTGCTCACCAGAGAGAGAGAGGGGGAAAGTGAGAAATCGCCCCCCAAGTTGGATGGCCATGCCACAATACATTCTCCTCCTTTCTTCTCCTGGGATCTTGGGCATGTACACAAACGGGCCCAGCATGATTTTCAAGTCATCGGGTCTGGGACTTGAAATACTATCGGCCATGTGGGAGTTCAGTGACATCACCACTACTCCATCTGCTGGTCCCATGATGTAATCTTTTACCTGTGTTCAGACACATACCTTCTTCTAGGAACTGATAATGTTTGTAGCGTTTGCTATGGTGTATAAATCATTGGGCAAATGCCTAAATTATCCCATACACATAGATTAGCAATGGAAAAGGCAATGTAACTATAAAAACATCAACAGGTAGTTGTACTAAGAATACTGCTGTCTTCAGTTTCCACTGATTTGTATAAAAGGAAAGAAACTGACGTTTTGTGGAACATAACTTTAAAAGCATGACATTTGTTCTTTTTCTTTGTGATATTTACTTTCTTATAATACAACTGCAAGTCCTGGAAAGGAAGAATTTTCATTCTGTCATCTGCAGAATCTAATATTGCAAGTTATAACTGGACAATTTGATAGGATTTTAGACTAGTCATCCCAGAGATAAAGTAGATGAAAAACAAGGTTAACTAAAAGTGTGAAAGGAGTTCTAATCGCAGAGAATTCAGTTATATGCTTCAATCCTATTTCCATCCATATGTGTTTTGAAGCTTACTTTATCAATGAACTTGCAGTAGCCTAGCTGGTTTTAAGAAGGCTTACCTCCAAACTTTTCTTTGATTTTATTATTTAATCCAGTACTGCTGTTGTGTTAAAATGACCATGTGCATCCATTTGCATGTACAACTTGATTGTCCAGCAAATAAAGAATAATTTAACATCTTCGAAAGATATTACACTGCTTTACATTCTGAAAGTTACTACGCAGGTCAGCAGAAATTACACTGCAGTCTCATTATGCTGTCAGAGGTAAGCATGGGATAAATCCACTTACCTCTAAGGTGAATGACAGCACCACGTCGGACTTTGACAGCTGAATCTCATTCTCATCTCCAATGTCCAAAAATGCAGAATTCTGTGAACGTTTTAATTTCTGTAATTTAAATTCTGGACCACCTTTTGAAACTGGAAGACTTTCCAAATTGGCCATTAGCAAATTCACTGAGGACCGCAACTCTTCTATGTACATATTCTCCATATCTTTTGCTATAAATTTGGGAAATTTTCTTTCCTAGAAAACAATTTTTAAAATAACAATGTTATGAGTTGTATTTCAATGCTGTGAAAATAAGATACATATACTCTTCCATTAAAAAAATTTGAGATTCTCAATAGACCATAGCCATCCTATGTTAATCTCTAGGCTTAATTAGCCTCAGGCTTTGGTCATTTTATCTAAGGGCATCTTAATACACCTTATTGAAGATTACTATGATACAAAGTGAACATTATATACATTTTAAATTAACTTTTTTATTTTAAGAGAGATTTTTGCTATAGGGCATGTGTGCTCGCCAAAGAGACAGACAGACAAAGCGAGAATGGGATGGCCACATAGCAATCCCTTCTTCTCCATTCTCCTCCCGGGATCTTAGGCATGCATGCACTTGCACCCGGCATGGGTTTTAAGCTGCAGGGTCTGGGACTCAAACTACAGTTGACTACGTGGGAGTCCAGTGATGTAACCACTATGCCATCTTCTGGTCCCAACATTAACTATTTTTTTAAAATCAAAAATAGTTATTCTTTAGAATTCTGAAATCATGCATGTAAGATGTTTTAGTGTCTAGATGAATCTTAATTAGCCACTTGTAAGCTTTGAAATATTTGATGTAACTGCTCTGAAAGAAAATGTTCAGGTTACCATGCTTTGCTGGCTAGTAAATAAACATTTTAACAGTATCTCTCTTTCTTGCCACAGATATGCATTGTTGGGACAGCATGCATTTTAAAAAGAAGCTTTTCAGATTAAAAAACCCATATTATTGAATACTTATATGGTCATATTAAATTATTAGTTCATTTTTACATCACACCAATGTACCAAAATCCCTTATGGCCATAAATGCATTTTTTTTTATTATAGACTAAGAAAAAATAAACTTACAACAAAAGGCAAATTTATGATACAAGCTGTTAAGTGAACAAGACAGTAATAGTAATAGTTTGGAAGATTCTGTTTTCTTTTTGAGTTGCACGAACATGCCATTCAATCATTAATCTCTACAATGATTTTTATTTCTTCCACTCCATGGAAGAAATATAGATAGAGGGTGTCAAACTGTCCTTACAGAAGAATATACCGATTTATATCCCAACAAACAGCAAATGGGAGCCCTTTCTTCCCCACACTCTTGGCTCTTTCTTTAATCTTTGCCAACCTGGCACTTAGTTCTCTCTTATAGGTAGAGGGAAAAATAATTTTGCAACATCAGGCCCAGCGAAATGTACAAAACTGACTAGGGACTAAAAACTGAAAATAGACATCTTTCAAATGATTGCCTAATGCTCCAGAAAATCACTGCATTTACTGTTGTTTCCCTTGGCATCATTCAAAACCTAACCTAAGAAATCTGCATCTCGGGCACGACTGGAATGAGTCCAGAATGTTCTCGTCAACCTGCACCTAGTCACTGACTCGCTTGCACCAGTTCGTTTACGGGATGGGAAAGGAACATCTGGCACCACGTCACGATCAGTCCCAGAGTCTCAGGCCACCTGTTTCTCTCTTCTCCCAATATAACCTTCACATATTTCTGTTAAAAATAATTTACATATAATCAATGTGAAAATTGCATACTTACGATCACAGAGAAATTAAGTATCTACATTAATAATTAACTTCCCCAGATATTATTATGTACCCTTTCAGTACTCTTTCATAGTTTCTGACAACATGCTACAATAGTACCTTTATGTCTTTATGGAAAATACATAACTACTCAGCTATAGAATACATTTATTTTCTTTGAGGGAAAATACCTTTTTGGGTTTTTAAAAATATAAACAAAGGGGAGAAAAACAAAATAAGCTACAAATATATATATATGTATATATAAATACACACACACTTTTATTACATTCTTTGAAAAACTTTAAAACCTGTCAGAAAAAGCATCAAAAACTCAGAAATAAGGAAAAAACATGAAGGGGCAGGACATTTCAGTGTCACATGGAAGCAAAGGCATTCCAAAGATCATCTGGGGCAGTGTATTGGGTCATCAGAAGAGTCATGACCATGACATATTTTTCTATGCA